CTCATGGTATTGGGGGGTGCTATATTAATTTAAGCTAGATTAGGGCATGGCTATACCAAAAGAAACAGAGTTAGTATAAATGGGGTTAAGTCAGAGTGGGAAAATGTTGTAAGTGGAGTGCCTCTAGGCTCTGTCCTGGGACCTCTGTTGTTTATAATATATATAAATGATTTAGATTCAGGTTTGAGTAGCAACATTTGCAAATTTGCCGATGATACGAAAAACGGTAGGGAAATTAACACGGAAGAAGACTCACTATCACTTCAAGTTGATCTAAATAGGGTTTTGAAATGGTCAAAGAATTGGCAGATGCAGTTTAATGCTGATAAATGTAAAGTTCTGAGGCTAGGTAATGATGATAGAGTTACAAGATACGAGCTAGATGGTGTTGAGATTGCGAAGTCGGATTGCGAAAGGGATCTGGGAGTTATGATTAGTAAGAATTGAAAACCAGAGGATCAATGCATGAATGTTCGTAATAAGGCAAATAGGACACTGGGATATATTAATCGAAGAATTAGTAACAAGACACCTGGTGTTGTTCTTCAACTATATCTTGCTCTGGTTAGGTCCCATTTAGATTATGCAGTTCAGTTTTGGTCGCCATACTATAGAATGGATATAAATTCACTTGAACGTGTCCAGCGTAGGATGACTAAGTTAATTCCCCAAATTAGAAATCTTTCATATGAAGAAAGATTAACAAAGCTTAAATTGCATTCACTGGAAAGGCGAAGAGTTAGGGGTGACATGATAGAGGTTTACAAGTGGATTACTGGACATAACAAAGGGGATATTAATAGGGTATTAAAAGTATCAATACAAAACAGAACACTAAACAATGTATATAAATTGGATAAGTTTATATTTAGGAAAGACTTGGGTAAATACTGGTTCGGTAACAGGGTTGTTGATTTGTGGAACCAATTACCGCGTAACGTGGTGGAGGTGGGGTCCCTCGATTGTTTCAAGCGTAGGATGGGCATGTGCATGAGTGGGATTGGGTGGTTATAAATAGGAGCTGCCTAGTATGGGCCAATAGGCCTTCTGCAGTTACCTTTGTTCTTATTTTCTTATATTAATTATAAACAGTAGTAATATTTTATCAATAATAATAATTTTAATAATAATAATGTTAATAATAATAATTTTAATAATAACAATAATAATAATAATAATGATGATTCCAAATATTTGTATTACTAACTTCATTGTTATACAAAAAATAAATGACTTCAATATTACATCGGAATGTCCGAATGAGTTACTTTGCCCAAGTTGTCAACGTGACTCAAACGAGTTCCTTAATTTCGATGATTTTGTAAGATAAGACCGATGAACTTGTGCATCTTTAACCTGCTTGACATCAGTGGTTGCAAAACTTTAAATGAGGCACAGGTTCATTTAGATCTTACTAATGTACTGCCCGCTTGGACAGTTTGCTCTTTCATGGGAGCATCGACTCCTGGCTCCGCATTTCAGCCACCAGGAGGTCAATTCAATGAATAAATCCACAAAGGCCGTGACGAGGATTCGAACCTACGTCCGAGAGCATCCCAGACGCAGCCTTAATCGACTGAGCTACGACATGGTCAAAAGACCATGTCTTTTGATGCTCTCGGACGTAGGTTCGAATCCTCGTCACAGCCCTTGTGGATTTGTTCATTTGATGCATCACGCTATTGTGATTTCTGTTTGTCAACTCAATGACTTTCTCTTGTTTATGTTATCATATTTAAATTTAAACCTTTGTATTGAGTTAGTGTTGAGAAATTCCTCATCAAACCTATTCCAGTTATCCACAACATTACTGTATAATACTCGAATCAGTCATGTTATAACTATCCAGAGAACACTGCTAATATGAACTCAACTACAGGAGGGAACACAAATGTGTGTCCTTGTTAGCTGACCTGGTCAGGACATCAGAGACATCAATCCAAGAGTGATGTTCGCGGCCTTACTGTTATGTATAAAGTCAGTGTTCTCATGGTTCTGCATATGACCCCACCTCGATGACAACCAGAAGCCAGCAATCACAACACAAGGCGCTCAGCCGTCAACAGCCTCATGCTAGTTGTTCCATTCTCGAGAACATCATTCCATTAGCGGTCATTAATTCTAAGAACATGTTGTCTCAACAAGTAGATACGTGTGAAATTAGGTCAAGAGAATATATAAATGCTCTGGCACATAGATGGATGCAGCTTCACCCTTTATCTAATACGATTATAACATTTTAAATAGTTTATACAGAATATAACTAATTTTAATTTTATTAAGTCGATCACTTTCTAGGGTCAGCATTGTACAACAGCTTTAAGCTTGCACTTTTTATTTAGAATTATCAATGCCATCCATATTGAAAACTAATCTCACATAAAGATAAGAAAATAGATAATAGAAAACGAGAGAAAAATAGCTCCTGGGCCCCTTGTCTCTGAGTGATACACGAGTTTAGTTAACATACGTGTGTCATAAATACCCTCTAGATTTATGCTTAACTTAAAAAGTGCACAACAGCCTACGGAAAATATCAGCATGAGCCTGCAGAAGGTGTGTGGGCGAGTGTGTCGAGACCGTCGTATCCAGACGTCGGGAAGGAGAGAGTGGGAGTACCCAGCGTGTCGGCTACTGTGGCCGGGATCACAACACCACAAACCAATATATATGTGTGTGTGTGTATGACCATTTTACTGCGGGAGTATCTGGGCGCGTAGGACCAGTAGAACAATATAAGTAGGTGGGAGGGGTGGTATTAGTACGGGGGGAGGGGTGAGAGGGAGGCGGCATATTAAAGAGAAATCCCAGTAGCATATTTGTAATCCTCCTGACCTGCCGTCTCTCACCTCAGGGCAGGAGGGAAGGGAGGTGGGGGGAGGGGGATTAGGGAGAAGAGGGTGGTATGGGAATCTTAAGGGGGGGCAGGGGGGGGCGGGGAAGACCATAAACCACCATTACCAATACCACTACCAAATGCCCTTTGCACCATTACCAACCTCCATCGTCGCTACAAGCAATAATGCATTATTATAAATACAAATGATCTTGCAATAATTACATGCGAACAGTAATGATTCCCCAGCACTATAGTATTACCCACCACGACCAATCACCAGTACACCACCACCACCAATCACCAGTACACCACCACCACCATCACCACCACCATCACCAGTACACCACGACCACCATCACCAGTACACCACCACCATCACCAGTACACCACCACCACCATCACCAGTACACCACCACCATCACCAGTACACCACCACCACCAATCACCAGTACACCACCACCACCATCACCACCACCATCACCAGTACACCACGACCACCATCACCAGTACACCACCACCATCACCAGTACACCACCACCATCACCAGTACACCACGACCACCAATCACCAGTACACCACCACCACCATCACCAGTACACCACCACCACCCATCACCAGTACACCACGACCACCATCACCAGTACACCACCACCACCCATCACCAGTACACCACGACCACCAATCACCAGTACACCACCACCACCAATCACCAGTACACCACGACCACCAATCACCAGTACACCACCACCACCAATCACCAGTACACCACGACCACCAATCACCAGTACACCACGACCACCAATCACCAGTACACCACGACCACCAATCACCAGTACTCCACGACCACCCATAAAAAATTCCCCCATTTTGCATTCGCAAGATAACGTAAGCTTTTAAGGGGTGACAGATGTTAATCTTCTTGTTTGAGGAGCTGTTCACTTGAGACAGTTAAGCAAGTCCCAGCTGTGTCTGGGTACAAGTGACAGGATGAACAACCCAGCGGGTTTTCTTCCTATTGGGGAGTGTTGTACATGCTGCTATGGCGGTGTGTCCACTCACAGGATGAGTGGCGCTGCCCAATACTGTCACTATGGCGGTGTGTCCACTCACAAGATGAGTGGCGCTGCCCAATACTGTCACTATGGCGGTATGTCCACTCACAGGATGAGTGGCGCTGCCCAATACTGTCACTATGGTGGTGTGTCCTCTCACAAGATGAGTGGCGCTGCCCAATACTGTCACTATGACAGTGTGTCCACTCACAGGATGAGTGGCGTTGCCCAATACTGTCACTATGGCGGTGTGTGCACCCACAGGATGAGTGGCGCTGACCAATACTGTCACTATGGCGGTGTGTGCACCCACAGGATGAGTGACGCTGCCCAATACTGTCACTATGGCGGTGTGTCCACTCACAGGATGAGTGACGCTGTCCAATACTGTCACTATGGCGGTGTGTCCACCCACAGGATGAGTGGCGCTGCCCAATACTGTCACTATGGCGGTATGTCCACTCACAGGATGAGTGGCGTTGCCCAATACTGTCACTATGGCGGTGTGTGCACCCACAGGATGAGTGGCGCTGCCCAATACTGTCACTATGGCGGTGTGTCCACTCACAGGATGAGTGGCGCTGCCCAATACTGTCACTATGGCGGTGTGTCCACTCACAGGATGAGTGGCGCTGTCCAATACTGTCACTATGGCGATGTGTCCAGTCACAGGATGAGTGGCGCTGTCCAATACTGTCACTATGGCGGTGTGTCCACTCACAAGATGAGTGGCGCTGTCCAATACTGTCACTATGGCGGTGTGTCCACTCACAGGATGAGTGGCGCTGCCCAATACTGTCACTATGGCGGTGTGTCCACTCACAGGATGAGTGGCGCTGCCCAATACTGTCACTATGGCGGTGTGTCCACTCACAAGATGAGTGGCGCTGCCCAATACTGTCACTATGGCGGTGTGTCCACTCACAGGATGAGTGGCGCTGCCCAATACTGTCACTATGGCGGTGTGTCCAGTCACAGGATGAGTGGCGCTGTCCAATAAACTCGCCCCTCGGGGCAAAATTTAAAAAAAAAATTAAGGAATAGTAGAACGAGAGGACATAACTGGAAACACAGATGACTTAGAGATGTCAGAAAGACCTCTTTCACTCTCAGAGTCGTTCCAGAGTAGGTGGAACGGACGAGATGAGGAACTTGTTGAAGCCAATTTGATATACAGCCTTAAATATAAATATGATAAGGAAAACAGGGGAAATGAGCCACTGCATTCGACTAACAATGGTCGAAAGGCGGGACTTTAGAGCAGATGCTCGACCCTGCAAGCACAACTAGATGAGTACATACACTTAAAAAAAGGCCATAAAAGTAAATAACAGCAGACATATTGCTGCTAGCCCAAGTGTGTGCTTTTGTCGAGGCCGCCCTCCCCTCCCCTACTCCCTCCCCCTCCCCATCTCCCTCCCTCTACCCCGTCAATCACCCCCTGACCTCCCTTCCATTCCTCGTCACCCACAACTACCCCTCCTCCCTTACACCCCCCCACCACCACCGCTGCCCCCCTTCCTGCCTTAGAGTAGAACAATGTGCTTTACTCTCCAATATGTTGAAAATTTTCAAATGCTTTCCCGGGATGTGGATTTTTTGCTGATGTTGACGAGTGGTGAGGGAGAGGGTGAGAGGGAGAGGGTGAGAGGGAGAGGCTGAGAGGGAGAGGGTGAGAGGGAGAGAGGGAGAGGGAGAGAGGGAGAGGGTGAGAGGCAGAAGGTGAGAGGGAGAGGGTGAGAGGGTGAGAGGGTGAGAGGGAGAGGGTGAGAGGGAGAGGGTGAGAGGGGGTAGGGAAAGCAAAGGAGATGTGTGTCAGGTATATTGTGTTGTTATTCTTCTGTATTTTAGCTCTGGTGGTATAATATAGTGGTGGCAGTGTTGCTGCTGTTCTTGTTACTGCTGTTGAAACTATTGACACTGTTGCAGGTAACCGGGCTGTGGTGGATATGTGGGCCTGCGGGCAGCTCCGAGCAACACCCTGTTGGACCAAACTCTCGCACGTCAGGAATGGCCTCGGGCCGGGCTTGAGGAGTAGAAGAACTCCCAGAACATCATCAAGCAGGTACTGCTGCTACTGTTGCTGCTGCTGTTGATATTGCTGAGTACACTACAACCGCTAATGGGTGGGTGTTGTACTGCTGAGCAGGATATGGTGCTGGGATGTTGGAGAGTGTTGGGGAGGAGGATGTGATGTTGGAGATATTGGAGTGTGTTGGAGAGGGGGATGTGATGTTGGACGAGTGGTCAAGAGGGGGACAAAAGGTGCCATAAATCTGTCCCCAGGTGTCTTACGCTTGCCATATGGGTCAAGGAAGAGAAGTGCCGTTGAGAGGGCGGGAGAGGGCAGATGGCAGGGGGCCGAGGGGCAGGCCTGGTGTGTGGAGAGATGGAAGGGTGTGGAGGGAAGAGGGTGTGACACAAGGGCAAAGAGGAGGTAACTAAACACGAGGGCGAGAGAGAGAGAAGTAAACAAAAATGCAGTTAAGAAGAATTTAAATTAGAAATCAAATAAATGGAAAACCTAACAAGAACAGTGAATGCTTTCAGCGATAGAAGAGTGAGCAGTAGTAAGGCTGCTGCAGGTACGTGGCTGCAGGTCCGTGGCTGCAGGTCCGTGGCTGCAGGTACGTGGCTGCAGGTCCGTGGCTGCAGGTACGTGGCTGCAGGTCCGTGGCTGCAGGTCCGTGGCTGCAGGTACGTGGCTGCAGGTCCGAGGCTGCAGGTCCGTGGCTGCAGGTCCGTGGCTGCAGGTCCGAGGCTGCAGGTCCGTGGCTGCAGGTCCGTGGCTGCAGGTCCGTGGCTGCAGGTCCGTGGCTGCAGGTCCGTGGCTGCAGGTCCGTGGCTGCAGGTCCGTGGCTGCAGGTCCGTGGCTGCAGGTCCGTGGCTACAGGTCCGTGGCTGCAGGTACGTGGCTGCAGGTCCGAGGCTGCAGGTCCGTGGCTGCAGGTACGTGGCTGCAGGTCCGAGGCTGCAGGTCCGAGGCTGCAGGTACGTGGCTGCAGGTACGTGGCTGCAGGTCCGAGGCTGCAGGTCCGAGGCTGCAGGTCCGAGGCTGCAGGTCCGTGGCTGCAGGTCCGTGGCTGCAGGTCCGTGGCTGCAGGTACGTGGCTGCAGGTCCGTGGCTGCAGGTACGTGGCTGCAGGTCCGAGGCTGCAGGTACGTGGCTGCAGGTACGTGGCTGCAGGTCCGTGGCTGCAGGTCCGTGGCTGCAGGTCCGTGGCTGCAGGTCCGAGGCTGCAGGTCCGAGGCTGCAGGTCCGTGGCTGCAAGTCCGTGGCTGCAAGTCCGTGGCTGCAGGTACGTGGCTGCAGGTCCGAGGCTGCAGGTCCGTGGCTGCAGGTCCGTGGCTGCAGGTCCGTGGCTGCAGGTCCGTGGCTGCAGGTCCGAGGCTGCAGGTCCGAGGCTGCAGGTCCGAGCTGCAGGTCCGAGGCTGCAGGTCCGTGGCTGCAGGTCCGAGGCTGCAGGTCCGTGGCTGCAGGTCCGAGGCTGCAGGTCCGTGCCTCACGAAACCACCTATTAAAACTGTTATATACAAATGTTGGAAATATTAGCAGTACATGTTATGCCACACCAATACGCCGACCCCCACCAGTCCAAGACAGACACCCCCTCACCTGCGCTCTTAGATGCTCCCTCGTCTCCATTGATAGTCATATGCTCCCTCTCCTCCCGTCATGCTCGCACTGTTCTGGCGACTGAAACACCTTCATTATGCAAATGATCTGCAACAGTGTCGTATGAGTCTTCTCCTTCTCCTTCCCCTCCCCAGCTCCGCCTCCCACCTCGCCCCCTCTCTGCTCGTCCACACTCCCTCCCCCACAACAAAGTCCATCACCAAGTGATGTGGAAGGTGGTGGTGAGATATTAGAGGGATGCCGACAAACAATCCCCCTCCAAGGTACCTCGCCACGGTATTTAGGCTATATGGGCGGCCTGCCTTCATGGGTAGGCCTATATGCACTGGCTGTAAAACTGGGATGATGCCCGTGGAGATGCGCCTGAAGGATAGAGATGCTGGTCAGGAGTGATCTATCCACTCCTGCATCTTCACAGAGCTTAAATATAAACAAACTCTACTGACAAACTTATTTCTAATTTATAAATAAAATCCATAAAATTAGACACTATTAGAATTTGGGGGTTTAATTCCTGAGTCCCTTATGGACCTCTGTAACCTTTCCCACTTCCATCTGTCACCTTTGGTTCTGTTGGTTGTAGTTTTAAATCTGCTTCGTATACTTTGCAAATTTTCATTAGTATCTTTTATGTTGTTACTATGTCGCCCTTATCTCTCCTTTCCTCCGGTGTGGTACGTTCCATTTGTCTCAATCTTTCCTCATAGCTCCATTCCTTCACCTCAGAAACGAGCCTAGTTGCATATGTTCAGATTTTTTCTAGTTTGTCACTGAGCTATATAAAGTAATGGTTCCATGCAGGGGATGCATATTAAAGAGTGGGTCTCACCTTCGCTGTATATAAGGTTCGGAAAGCCCCTTTCTTCTATTTTCTGAAGGATCCACGGACGTTTTCCAGCACTCAGGAAGTTCTCCCGGGTCTAGAGGAAATAAATATTATAACAAAGGGACTACATAATACTGCTGGAGCCTCTTTCAGTATCCATGACAATATCATATCTGTACTCACCTAGTTGTGCTTGCGGAGGTTCAGCTCTGGCTCTTTGGTTCCGCCTCTCAACTGTCAATCAACTGGTGTACAGGTTCCTGAGCCTACTGGGCTCTGTCATATCTATATTTGAAACTGTGTATGGAGTCAGCCTCCACCACATCACTGCCTAATGCATTCCACCTCTTATCTACTCTGACACTGAAAAAGTTCTTTCTAACGTCCCTTTGGCTCATTTGGGTACTCAGTTTCCACCTGTGTCCCCTTGTTCGCATACCACCCAAGTTAAACAGTTTATCCTTATATATTCCCTGTAAATTCACCTGAGAATTTTGTAGGCAGTGATCATGTCTCCCCTTACTCTTGTCCAAGTTACCCATGTTACTCTTGACCATGTCTTCCCTTACTCTTGTTATTCTGTGCGTGTGTGTGTGTGTGTGTACTCACCTATTTGTACTCGCCTATTTGTGTCTGCAGGATCAAGCACTGACTCTTGGATCCCGCCTTTCGAGCCATCGGTTGTTTACAGCAATGACCCCGGTCCTATTTCCCTATCATACTTAATTAGTTTGAAAATTATGAATAGAATTTGCTTCCACAACCTGTTCCTGAAGTGCATTCCATTTTTCCACTACTCTCACGCTAAAAGAAAACTTCCTAACATCTCTGTGACTCATCTGAGTTTCCAGCTTCCACCCATGTCCCCTCGTTCTGTTACTATTCCGTGTGAACATTTCGTCTATGTCCACTCTGTCAATCCCCCCTGAGTATTTTATACGTTCCTATTATATCCCTCCCCCCCTCTCCCTTCTTTTTTCTACTGTCTTAATGCACAGTTCCTTCAGGCGCTCCTCATACCTCATACCTCGTAACTCTGGGACGAGTCTCGTTGCAAACCTCTGAACCTTTTCCAGTTTCCTTATATGCTTCTTCAGATGGGGACTCCATGATGAGGCGGCGTACTCTAAGACTGGCCTCACATAGGCAGTGTAAAACGCCCTAAATGCCTCCTTACTTAGGTTTCTGAATGATGTTCTAACTTTTGGCAGTGTAGAGTACGCTGCTGTCGTTATCCTATTTATATGTGCTTCAGGAGATGGATCAGGTGTTACGTCCACTCCCAGGTCTCTTTCTTGCGTCGACACAGGTAGGCAGTTCCCCTTCATTGTGTACTGTCCCTTTAGTCTCCTATCTCCTAGTCCCATTTCCATAACTTTACATTTGCTCGTGTTGAACTCCATTAGCCATTTCTCTGACCATCTCTGCAACTTGTTCAAGTCCTCTTGGAGGATCCTACAATCCTCATCTGTCACAACTCTTCTCATCGACATGTAGGCCTCTACTCCTATAAACATGTCGTTAACATATATTAGAAATAGAATTGGTCCCAGCACCGATCCTTGAGGTACTCCACTTGTTACTGTTCGCCAGTCCAACTTCTCGCCCCTTACCGTAACTCTTTGGCTCCTTCCTGATAGGTAGTTCCTTATCCATGCTAGGGCCTTTCCTCACCCCCCCCCCCCCCCGCCTTCCTCTCGAGTTTCAAGAGCAGTCTCATGTGCGGTACTGTATCAAAGGCTTTTTGGCACTCCCGAAATATGCAGTCTGCCCAACTATCTTTGTCCTGTCTTATCCTCGTTATTTTATCATAGAATTCCAAAAGGTTTGTTAGGCACGATTTCCCTTTTCAGAACCCATGTTGACGTTCTCCAGGTGTGCAACCAGTCGTAGCCTAATTATTCTTTCAAGTATTTTACAGGGGATGCTTGTCAGTGATACAGGTCTATAGTTAAGTGCCTCCTCCCTATCGCCTTTCTTGAAGATCGGCACGACATTTGCCTTCTTCCAGCAACTGGGCAATTCTCCCGACATAAGTGACTCATTAAAGACCATTGCCAGAGGCACACCGAGGGCCTTCACTGCTTCTTTTAGTATCCACGGTGATACTTTGTCTGGTCCAACCGCTTTAGACGCATCCAGTGTTGTCAACTGTTTCATTACCTCCTCTGCTGTCACCTCTATATCTGATAGTCTTTCATCTAGTGTAATCACTTCCAACAATGGGAGCTGCTCAGGCTCGGTTGTGAACACTCCATGGAAACTGGCATTCAGTGCCTCGCAGATTTCCTTGTCACTTTCAGTATATGCCCTTCTGTTTTCCTTAGTCTTGTCACTTGGTCGTTCACCGACATTTTTCTTCTTATATGGCTATGTAGTAATTTAGGTTGCTTTTTCGCTTTGATCGCAATATCGTTCTCATAGTTCCTTTCCGATGTTCGTCTTATGTTAATTTAATCGTTCCTAGCTCTGTTACATCTGATCCTGTTGTCCTCTGTCCTTTGTCTTCTGTACTTCCTCCACTCCCGCCTGCTGGCCATTTTTGCTTCCTGACACTGTCTATTAAACCATGGGTTATTATATTCCCTCTTATTCTTTCCCTTTACTGTTGGTATAAATCTCTCTTCGGCCTCCTGGCATTTCCGTATGACCAGGTCCATCATATCTTGGATTGTTTTTCCTCTAATTTCTTCCTCACATTGCACTTCTCCCAGATAGTCCCTTATCCTCCTATAGTCCCCTTTCATGTAGTCAACTCTCCTTTCCCAGATCTCTTGTCCCATGGTCACAAGTTTGAATTCCATCATGTAGTCAAAGACTAGGACACAATGGTCGCTGGCCCCTAGAGGTATTTCATGCTCCAAATAATCGATGTCTTCTACGTTCTGGGTGAAAATCAGGTCTAATAGGGCTCGGTGCATCTCCTCCTCTTTCCCTTGTGTCTTCCTTCACATGTTGTGTTAGGAAGTGTGTAAGCAAGAAATTCCTGTCTATAACATCTACCAACTTTGCTCCCCACGTTTCGTCCCCTCCATGGGGATTCCTTGATTCCCAGTTTACCTCTCCATGATTTAGGTCCCCCATGACCAGTAGTTTCGCTCTCATTCTGTGAGCTAATGTTGCTACCTTCTGCAGTTCATCTATACATGCCTTGTTGTTGTCATCATACTCCTGCCTGGGTCTTCTACTGTTTGGTGGGGGATTGTAGAGTATCAAGATTACAATCTTCCTCCCATCTGCTGTCAGAGTTCCATGTATGGAGCTTGTGCTCTCATTGGTGTGTGTGTGTGTGTGTGTGTGTGTATGAGGGAGGGAGAGTGTGCGAAGGATGGGAGAAAAAAGAACAGAAAGACACAGAGGAGTCTCAGGAATGTTGCAAAACACGTATTTAGTGTGTATGTTAAGCAATTGGAATTGGAGAGAGAGAGAGAGAGAGAGAGAGAGAGAGAGAGAGAGAGAGAGAGAGAGAGAGAGAGAGAGAGAAAGAGAGAGAGTGAGAGTGAGAGAAGCAGCTAACAAACTAGTTCATTTATAAAAGTTGAATCACTCCATTAGCAAACAGACAGCCGGGTTCAGAAGCCAGCACTCGGCCCTGCAAGCATGTTCATGCAACCACACTTAGGTGAGTGCACACACCAAGCACAATCGCCTCGGAACAGGCGTCAATTTTCTCTGGCGGTAATCCATAACCATTTATAATCCGGGATTACCTGGCCTGAGCCTCGACTCCCAGCAACACCCGCACAACAATGGCGGTATCCCCCCCCCCCTCACTACACTGGGATTACAACACGAATCCTCACGATTCACACCAAAGTTTGCAGCCAGGGGCTCCTCGGTGTATCTAGGGAAGAGAACACTAGGCCAGGATTGCTCAAGCATTTACCACTTAGGTAACCAAACCTGTGCATCTTTCGTCAATCATGGCGGCTTTGTTTGTACTTATTAAACAGTTCATAGGCCCCGGAGCACTACAAGGTTGTTTGTAACAATAATAACCTTGGGTTGTGAAGTTTACAAGCTCGTAAACTTGTTAATAAAAGTAAACAAAGCCGCCATGATTCATGAAAGATGTACAGGTTTCGTAAGTGGTTGCGTAAATGCTTGATGACTCCTGGACCTGGTCGTTTAGCCACTTGGGTTGGACGGTAGAGCGACGGTCTCGCTTAGTGCAGGTCGGCGTTCAATCCCCG